TCTTTTTTCCCTCTTCTTTCTTCTTCTAGTTGAGTTCTGATCATCCAGCCATTGAAGCCTGGTTAAGTGGATATTATCTGCAAGTGTGAGTATTCTTGTGCATATGCCCTCTCTTCTTATCAGTTGGACACTTCACTCTCCACTCTAGTCCTCTGAGGCTATGTCACTGACTCTGGGCCCAAGAGTCCCAAGTCTTGCCACACTGATGGCCAACCAGATCTCCACCTGGGTTCATGGGAGTCTATTGAACGTGGTAGGGCTTAGCTCACAGCTTCGTTGCTGTTTTCCCCTCACTTCCCCTTTTCGGTGACGAACATAGTCACCAATCAGAGCTCATGTCTACTCGTGTATTCCCATTGGGCCTTGGATAGGGGTTTGTCCTGAGGGGACTTGACCACTTGCCTTGATGTCTCCTGGGTGAGCAATTTACTTGTTCTTGTAGTAGTCATTCAGACTGCCATTATTGTTTTATATTTTTCCTGTTGGTCTTTCTTTCAAGAAGTATCTTCTGTTCTTCTAGCTGCAGGCTGGTCTGCTTGTCCTTTCAAGTGGAGATTTCCCACCTCAGAAGACTCTAGATGGGGTTCAGGATTCCACCTATGGTCTTATGCAATGCAGAGGCTCCACAGAAAGCCTCCTTCATTGGGCACGTTGTAGCCCCATTTTAGGTATTCCAATCAGTTATAGGCAGAAGATACTTACAAGCTTTCTATGGTGATATTTCTGGCTATTCCTTTGTCTGTCCCTCAATTGTCTATTTTACAATGGTATGAAAGGGAAACCAAGATTGAAAAGCCAGCCAAGCATCTTAACATTATTTCCCCCCTTTTACCCATTCAAACCATGCCTCAATCCTTGTATCCCAGAGCCCTGTTGTTCCAAGGTTGTACATACATCATTCTTTACCTCTGTCCCACTTAACCCATTCAAACCTGCCTAACTGTTCTCCCATCTGCCTTGTTCTTCCATTCTCCTCCCCCTTCTTGTGTGTTGCCCCCTCCCCAGCACCCAAACTATCCTGTGTCTATTCCCTACCCTGTGCTCCACCTTCCCCTCCCTCCCCTTGCCCCACTTCCCCTATATCCCAGTAACCAGCAAAGAAACCCTTTTAGTATGGGTTCTTTTTCCATGAACTTTTTGAAGCCCTCTTGTATATAATAAATGTACTTCTAAAAAGGTTGTGTACACATCAAATCTTATCCTAAAAGGACTTGCAGAATATTTGTTGTTATTGTTAAGTGCCATGAAGATGGTTCCGACCCATAGAAATCCTGTATGGAGTTTCTGAGTAGCGGCTGGTGAGCTTGAACCACCAACCTGGCAATTCAAACTGACTTTGCAGTCCAGTGCATTAACCCACAATACCACATCAGGACTCCATTTATGTGTAGACAAATATGCTGTTCAGTGAGTGGCTGGTGAGTTTGAACCGCCAACCTTGTGACTCAAACTGATCTTATCCTGCAGTCAGCCTTCTGAAGTGTCTGGTTAGAGCAAGAGTTTGCCTACACAGTCATTTTTATGTAATCTTTCACAATGACTTTTATGAACTAGTTATGGTTATGCCCATGACAAATGAAAACAAAGATGGAATTTGAATGTATGTCTATCTAACTCCAAACTCTATGTTGCATTCACTATACAATGCTACACGTCCAGATGTAGTTAGTTTGGAAATTTTGGTTATTTAAAACAAGGATCATATATTTTTTCATAACTGTTGGATAAAATGAAATCCACATTTTTACAATGCAGATCAAATAAATGAACAAGTAAAACAACCTGATTTATTTAAGGAGGAAATTTTCAAGGAAAGAAGACAGTAGTGAAAGGTGGAGTGTCTAGAAAGCAACAGGTTTATTCAGAACACTTGCCAAGTAACTGTGAGTCTCTGTGTCTCAGCTTGTCTTCTATCTCCAGGACAAGCGAAAAGGCAGTGATACAGATAAACACAGAGTATAGCCTGTGATTCAGTTGTTGTTTCTAATGCTCAATTCTAGTCTTCATCCATTCATATCATAAAGAGTTTGGAAGGGAGCTTAAGTGCATATCCACTCATTTTTCAGGAGATGACGTGCCCAAGGTCACATTGACAATAAGCTGTATAGTTGAGACCAGAACTCAAACCTCTGACTACCAGCCTCCTCCAAAAAGTCACGTGGTCACCACAGAAAACAAAATAATGTTGTGATGATACCAGCTAGCACTAGCTTAATGTTCAGTAGAATCCTTATATCGACATATTAATCCAATTTTTCTTATTCATTCAAAAACTATCATCATAAAAGAATTTTAGCAAGCTTCATAGTTAACCACTTACTTCTCTGGAAGTCAAGTACGTCTTAGGTAATAAAAGACTGTTCAAGTTTAGATAAACCCCAAATGTTCTAGCTCACCCTTTCACTATTTACACCTCATCAGATATCCAAGGGTATATTTCATTCTGAAGATGCAACTGAGAAAAAGTGTATATCAGTATATCAGTAAGCCAAGGCTTACAGAACAGCCAGCTATGCTTACTCCAGGAGGAGTTTAGATAAAACACAGACATTTTTCATATTTGAAATTGAACCTTTCTTCATGCATAATTAAGGATACCAATGAGAAATGACCTTCATAGGCTTGTTTTAGAGCTGGAGACAGCATGTGCCCAGTGACTAGGCAAAGGAGATGAGAGGAGTCAATCCTAGGATTCAGGAAGTAAACTCTGTCTCTTCACAGCGCTCTAAGGGACAGTGACCACACACCACACAGATTCTGTTTACCTTCTCAAACATCTGTGTGCTATTACGATGAAGGAGACTGGACAGAATCAGTGTGGGGTGCAAGTCCACTAAACAGGTGTCTCAGAAGGAAGGCCTGGTGATCTGCTTCCAAAAAGTCATCCACTGAAAACCCTATGGAACACAGTTCTACTCGGACTCACATGGGGTCACCATGATTTGGAGTAAACTTGACAGAAAGTGGCTTACTGGATTTTAACCCATATCCTTCTGACCTCTAAACCCCTTTCACATCCCTCTTTTCTATTACAGAGAGAGATGTTGATGCCAGTCCACTTTCTGCTGCTACTGCTGCTGCTGCTAGGGGCCCCTCGGTCAGGTCTCTCCCATAAGTTCTACAAAGCTGAGTCTATCTTCAACTGCATCAACACAGCCCTGTCTGAGGCCAAGAAGAGCCAATTGGATATTGAACCCCTACTGAGTAAGAGAAGCTTCCACTACCTGCCCAGCCAAGACCCATCTTCAGGAGCAGCAGAAGAAGAAAAAGATGAGGACAAGGAGAAAAGGACCTTCCCTGGCTCTGGAAGTAGGGGTGGAACCAGAAGCACCCATTACAAATCCATGTCTCAAACACAGCTCAACGGGAAGATGTACCAGGACAAGGCCAAGAGTGACCGGCCCACCAAATTCACTCTGTCCCTCGATGTCCCCACAAATATCATGAACATCCTCTTCAACATCGCCAAGGCCAAGAACTTGCGAGCCAAGGCAGCAGCCAATGCCCACCTGATGGCACAGATTGGGCGGAAGAAGTAGAAGCAGAGGCAAGGCAGCAGGGCAGCTTATCAAGGAGGTGGGGAAAAGAAGATGAGGAGAGACCAAGTACCTGCCCATCCAGCTGGTTTGTGTTTTGAGGGATCCATGCAGTTCTATAGGCTACTTCAACTGCTGAACCCCTTAGACCTTTCTTATTTCCAACCCAGTTTCCCTTTTCCTTTGTACATAGATACAGAAGTGCAGTATTGTCCAACATTTAAAGATACAAAGCACTTACTATCTCTCCCATTCTATTTCCTCTTGACTAGAAGCAAAGTTTCTGCATTCCTGTTCTCCAAATTCCTCCCGGTTGACCTCTTGTCTGAAACAAGAGCAGTAAGGGTTTTCCTCTTTTTTGCACATCAGTCCTTGACAATGCTGAAAGATGAAGAGACATGTTGCCCCACATCTTACACCCAAACCCTTTCCCTACCTTCTTACCCCCATTAAAACCGATGGCTTCTTGAACTCCTGGCTTGTTTCCATTTCTCTTCCTTCAGTCAGCTGCATTCAAATCTCTGAGCTAATGAGAAAGTTTACTGATGAACCAAGTCCCGATCTCTCCCAGAATAGTTCTTGGGGTTTGGAAGGTGGGAAGAAGAGACTGAGGGAGGCCAAGCTGCCAGTTCTGTGTCAGCTGTTGTCATTAGATCTAGAGCCACTTCCATGGCCTGGTTCTACTTAGAGGCATAACCTGGGATATACTTCAGAATAGGTGTTTGGGCTAAAGGGAAAGGGAGCTTTAAAATTTATCCTGCCATCCCAACCACCTTTGTGGCTACCTAGGGTAAAGGACCACTAATTCTTTAGCCAGGTGGCATCATTGATGGCGTCAAGTGTGGCAGCGGTGGTGGGGTTGGCCCAGGATCGGACATTGTTTCGGTCTGCTGTGCATGGGGTCGCTATGAGTCGGTTCCAACTCGATGGCACCTGACAACAACAACTACAATTCTTTAGCAAGTTCTTACTAAAGCCATAGTAATTTCCTAGCACTGTGCTGTGTTTGTATTGTGGGTGATACAAGATGTGGAAGGCAAAGCCTCTGTTCTACATGAGTCAACAGTTTAAGTGAACAGATACGACCAAAGTTTGAAACAAAAGCAAATGTTGTTGTCAGGGAGTACGTAAGTGATGAACTGTGATGTGATAACAGTAGTTTACACTTACTGCTATCACATCACGGTTCATTGCATATGTTGTTGTTGTTCAGCGCCATCAAGTCGATTCCGACCCAATGCAACCCTGTATAGGGGTTCCGAGGAGCAGCTGGTGAGCTTGAACTGCCGACCTTGCAGGTCAAATGGCTTTGCAGTCTGGCGCATTAACCCACAGCACCACAGCACGACTCTCTCTCTCTCTCTCTCTCTCTCTCTCTCTCTCTCTCTCTCTCT